TGCCCCCGCCACCCTAACCTTCAGTCCTGTCGCCATCTCTTGGGATTGTTTATCCTGCCTATCTTATATAGATAGACACCAAAAGAGAAAGAAAGGAAACACATACACACGACCCCATGCAAATAGCTCCAGGTCTAACGATTATCCTGACCCCAAGTCGATGAGTAGTCCTCTGTTAAATAGCAAGCAGGCCCTGATAAAATCCACCTGTTCATTCCCCCTTTCTTTCATTCCCCCCATCTCTCAGGACCCACTTACCCAACAACACTTATACCTTTTTAGTCTTCAGCCTTTGTGTCTCAGGGGTGCATCTTCTAGAAGACCCCACTGCTTTTCCTGAAGTCAAGGCTGGAGCGGTCTAGTGCTCCACCCCCCACTCCATAATACCTTTAACTTACAGTGCTCCCCCCACCCGTGAATATCCCCCAACCAGTTCAGATGAGGTGCCAAGCACAGTCCCCAAGTCAGATGTCTGCTATTGAGCTTCCTCAGGGCCTTCGTGTCTTTGCTCCCACTGCTGGTCTACTGCACTCCCCTCGTGGCTGACCCATGTGGGCGGGTCAGGCCATTCTCCTTGAAGTGTATCTTCAGCGTTGTCCTCCGGAGCACTGCCATCTAGGGAAGCGGATTTTTTTTTTTTTTAACAGTCTTATTGGCGCTTCATCCACATGACTTTCCTGGCCTTTTCCTCACCAATGCAGTTTTTATACTTATTCCCAGAGAAGACCTAGACAGTTCCTGTATAGGACACATGCACTAGAAAGTTCCTTCTCATGAAGCTTCAAACTCGTGCTTCAAGCGAGGGCTGCCCTCGGCGAGGCTACACAGCCACACTACGTACCTGACTGAGGCTTTAGAGCAAGGTTGGTGAGACTTTTCGTCTAGCTTCCTTTGGGCACAACCTCGTAAAGGACACCTTATTTGGTGCAGGAAAGGGTCCGTGAGAAGATGGGAAACCCTCCGGGAGATGCATTGACAACAGTCACAACCATGGGAAGAGGCAAAATCAAGACCAAGCAATATTTTGTTCTGGTATATAGAAAGTCACCATGAGGCAGAATGGACTCAACGCAATGAACAACATCTATTGTCATCTTTAGCGTGTGCGGGGTCAGGACAAGCTGCTCCTGGTAGTTACGAAGCCTGATCACACAGCACATTATCAACTGTACCACAGACTCCACACAACGTAGAACGGACTGAGCACCTGCCTCTCTGTGGCCCTCGGTAAATAGCCAAGGATCGGGGGAACATTTCCAGGGGCAGAGAGGGATCTGGGTTGTCAGGGCTCAGAGGTGTGCAATGCCATTGTGGAGTTTTGCTCAGCTTATTTGGCAAAGCTGGTGCTATTGCACAAGAAGCTGAGTATCTATGACTCCCGATACATTAGTCCTATTACTGTGCGGTCTCACTCGAGAGTAGAACGGAAATAATTCCCAGCCTCCACATTCAATGCAGACAGAGGGACATTCATGGTTAAACAACATAGGCTCATGGCTGCTACACGCATAGAAGGAGCCCAGTACTTTGCACCATCCTTTTCTTCTCCCAGCCCTAGTTATTTCTTAGATTCCCGGGGGATGACTTACACATTCTTTCAGATCAGTGTAGACCGATTCATGACTACTACCTCCACTGATTGACATAGGGATTCTGGACTGAACTTACTTCTGCCATTGCTCTCCTCCTAGGCCCCCACCATTCCGCACTCTGACTCCCTCATTGGTGATCAGGTTCAGATTCATGATGGATGTCTTGGGTGCAGGTTTCAACCCTCCAGAAGAATCTTCCCAGAATCTGACCTCCAATTGGTTCTCAAGATGAAGCTGTACATTTCAGGCAGGATGCCTTTCAAGAGCCAGTTTGACTAATATCACTAGGGTCTCTCTCAATGCCCAGATATAGCCAAGATGTAAGCAGTGGAGAGTAGAGGGAGAAAGATTATCGACACGCCCACCTCCGAAATCAAACCTATTGTCATTGAATCAATTCTGGCTAGTGTCAACTATATTTTATAGAGTGGAACAGCACCATCGGGTTTTCTTCGCTGTTCTTCTGTGCCACTACCTGGTGAGTTTGAACAACTAACCTTTAGGTTAGGATTAGAGCACCCAGGGACCCTCATCCACACTAGACCTGTCATGGGCTTGGCTCTGGCCCAAACAGAGAGTCTGTCTACATTTAGTAGAATTAGTCTCCTTCTTCAATGGCCTGGAGGCCCTGTCTGACTCCTCTGATTTCACAAGGGGGAGGGAGAATCAAGCTCCACCTCTGCTGAAGGATGATTCCTAGGAGACAGACGTCAGCCCTGCCTCCACCCGCCAATGCTCTTTCTTATATTCTGACACCCCCTGGCACTCTACTTCGCTGCTGCATTTGACAATCTGTTGCAATGGCCGAATAGGACGTGCAGACAAAATTAACAATTAGGGGAGTTGTTAGCCAAGGTCATGGGTTATAAGTCAGGATTGACAATATTAAGGACACATTTCTTTTGTTTCCAGTTCTTCTTCTCAGCTGTGCTGATGGGCCTGTCTCTCTCTGGTCCTCAGCTTATCAGCCACATGGCCCCTTGGGCTCCGTCTTACTCAAGCAGGTGTTACAAAGTTCCTTTAGTGCTGTAAAATGCCCAACGGTCACCCCACTCTGTAGACCAGCCTCCTGTTTGAGGGTGCTCAGTTTTACTCATGCTGTGGGCCAGAGACCCCGACACCTTGTATGTGGTCTCTACTGCCAGAGCCACTTATCCTCCAGGGATTGCGAGTATATTCCTCTCCTGGCTCTTCCATCATGATGTCTTCACTCCTGCTCCGAAGACGGCATACTTTATACTCAGTACAAGGGTAACACTGACCAATCCCTTCATGTCCATTCCACACACCCTATTTTCTAACTCCCAGCCGGGAATGTGTTGGGCATTACAGTGACTATGGAGAGAAAAGCCACACCAAGTCATTTCCCTGAACTACCTACACCAGCAAGAAGATCGTGTGCTCCAGCCTTTAAGACTTCTATCAGAATCTTGGCATTCTGGTGAGGCAAAAGAACAGACTTTGGGGTCAGAGTAATCTCTGTCCTAGCTCTGAGCCTACTTTCTTATATAAAGAGATGACAACTAGACCTATCTGCCCATAGGGATACTCTGAGGGTTAAGTGGAAGACCTAACAGAAAGTCTCTGGAGGCATGTATTGCACAAAGTTGGCACTTGATACAGCTTAATTCTTGTTTTAATATTCTTTTTCAAAATGTACCTGTGTTAGACAGGGTTCTCTAGAGAGATAAAACCAAATTGCTGATAATTTAATATATTTATTTATAAAGATAATTAGATATATAATAAGAAATGAACTGTTAAATCATACACAGATAAATATATAATACAAGAAATAAACAGTTAAATTATAAAGCACTACAAATGGCTCAATGCAACTCACTCCTGTGGCAGAGTTGTGAGAGACTAGCAGCCCTTCAAGTCTAGTCTGCTGCCAGATCTTCCTCTATTTATAGAGAGAGCTAGGCTATGTCGGCACAGCAGCCAATCAGAAGGCAGGTCACCAACTGCCAGGCAGGTCACCAACCGCCAGTCCCGAGCTCCAGAGATGTCTTAAAGGGACCTCAACTTATAGCGACACAGTCCACAGGCTAGGCGTCCCACAGGTAGTGTAGCCTTTAAATTGAGGCACAGAACAAGCAAGGCAGCCGCACACTGGTCCAATAATCAAAGAGCGAGAGACAAGAAAGATGAGGCTCACCAAGCCATTTATCTCTCTGCCCTTCAGTTAATCCCATTTGTGTTTATCGGCCAGGCTGGCACAATAAACTATCTCAGTACCCTATTTTGAATTCAAAATAAATGCTAGTGTACCAGTTGGATGTAAGAAGCATTGAGGGATTGTTTTTGGAATGGCATGCCACGTTTATCAATGGGGGAAGAAAGTTTCTCTGTTATTTAGTTGGGTCCTAAGAAAGAAATGTAAACATTTGGACATTGTTTACATTATGAAATAACAACAGATATTACTGACCTATGGAATAACATTAAAATATACTAGTAGGTGTGCAGAAAAGGGAAGAAAAAGGGGAAAAGAAGTTATATCTTTCAAGCACCTACTAGACACCAGGCAAGGTGACAAACTTTCTGCTGTTTTGTCCAAAGGTAAAATACAAACAAACAAAATTTCAAAAATTCTATATTCCACATATGAGGACACAGAGACCTTCTAGATTCGATCTCTAGAAAATAAGGAATATCATCCTTTTTTACTTTCACCTTCCTATATGTGTCTAAGACCTCATGGTGATTCTTTAGATCAATCCATTCCCTGCCCCATAGCTCCCTCCCTTGCTGACTGACATTCTCTTAAGGCATGAAGTGCTCTGGCTTAGTTGGAGAGACAAGTGGAGATTCCTGTTCTGTGGGTTCCTACCTGAGTTCAGTGAAATTCCAGACCCTGGTGGGCACTGAACATAGCCAGATAACTGCTTTCCATCTCAATATTTCTTCCTCTCCAGTAATTTTCAAAGCAGATTTCTTTATGACCTGGTTTAATTAAATTATTGTTGTTTTTAATTGCCATTGAGTTAAGTCCAATTTAGGATGGCCCCATATGTCAAACAGTAGAACAGCTCCACAGCATTTCCAAGGCTCCGATTTTCCCAAAGGAGCCCTGGTGTCATAGTGGTTACAAGTTGGGCTGTTAGCCAGAGGCCAGCAGTTCAAAACTATGTCACTCCATGGGAGAATGATGAGGCTTTCTACTCCCATAAAACGTTGGAGTCTTGGAAACCCACAGGGGCAGTTCTACCCTGACCTATATGAATCAGAATCAACTCAATGGCAGAAAGTTCTGTTTTGTTTCACCTTTCTAAAACATATAGTCGGGCTCATTCTGAGGCACCTCTGGGTAAGTGAGAACCAACTTTTTGGCCAGTTGTTGAGTGGGGAATGATGTGTGCAACCCAGGAGACCCCTGGAAATCCCAAGCAATGTTTTACTCACATCTGGCAAAAAGGAAAGGGTCTGCCTCCTTTCTGCAGTTGTACATGATTAAATCTGTGACCTTCAGAGCCTAAAAGAGAAAACCAGATTGATTCATAAACAACCAGGGACCAAAATACTTTTGATTTCCTTTTATTGTACTTCTGGGAACCAACCAATTAGATTCAGAGCTCACGGTGACTGGAAGGTTGTTTTTTTAAACTGATTCAGAAACCATAACACATTTCTAGGCTATTCATTTTGGCATTTGCAAGTCTAATTTTTGCCCCTCAATCGTAAAAGAAGAGGAAGTTGTTCAGCTCCAAAGAAAGAAGCCAATCGATGTCCCAAGTTGCCATCGCTCCTAGGCAAACACCAAAACCAAACAAAAAACACAGAAAGAAGGCTGGATAAGTCTCACGCCTCACCACTGGTGACATTTGCAAAAAGCAGGCCCTACATGCGAACCGAAACAAAACCAAGTTCATTAGTCAAGTTCATTCCGATGATAGCAACCCTGTAGGATAGGGCAGAATGGCTCCATCTAGGGTTTCCAAGCCTGTTGATCATTACAGACGGAGACTGCCACATCTTGCTCCCATGGAGGGCCTTGTAGGTCCCGACAATCAATCTTTTAGCTAAAAGCCAAGCACGTTACCACTCCACCAGGAGGGCACCTTCGATGAGAGACGGAGAGAATGCATTGGAGACTTCGATTTGCTATCGATCTTAGTACTTAAGCTGAGGTGGTTAAAACATGCCTTGTGTTTCAGCAGAAAGGATTTGAAGCTGCTGATATATTAAACAAAATCCATAAATAAAGAAGACAATCAAGAATTATTGTAGTCGTACCTCCCATTTCTATAGCACGCAGAGTGTTCAAGGCATCCTCAACATTACACAACGGGATTTAAAAGGTTTGTGGGAGAAAAATGAAATGAAAAGATGGAATTTTTCATGGGAAATTTTGAAGCCTCCTTGTATTCTTCCATTGGTTCAACATAATAGAGTTATTGTTAATGGGCAGTCCCATTTCTCATAATTTTGTGGCTAAAACATTGAGTGTTTGTTCTAAGGAAAGAAAAAGTAGGTAGTTTTAAAAAGTTTAGGAAAACACATAAGAGCAAACAAGGCCACACTAGAGACACTATTCGTGCCATGTTTCGGCTCAGAAAATTGCTCACTGCCATTATCGTTGTGGGAAACAAACGCAAAGTATTGTAAAGTAATCACTCCTAAACCTTTCTTTGCTCTAGCTTTACAAAAGTCAAAACCTGAATCTACAACATCCACCAAAATATGTCCTTCTACCTTTTTTGGTTCTATTGAACTTGAGAATGCATGTTAAAGCTAATAGACAAGAAATGGAAATAACAGTCCCAAACTATGAAGCCATGGTGGTGCTGTCATGTAAGTGTTGGATGGCTCATGGCAAGGTCTGAGGTTCAAACCCACTAGCTTCTCTGAGGCAGAAAGATGAGGCTGTCTGCCTCGGAAATCCTTTGCAGGGCATTATGAGTTGGAATTGGCTCAAGATGGGAGTGGGTACCTGCCTACCTGCCTGCCTTGCAGGAGAAAGATGTGGCAGTTTTCCAGGTGCCATTGAATTGATTGTCACTCACAGCAGTTTCATATGTGTGTCAGAGTAGAACTCTACTTCGTTTGGTTCAGAGGAGATCAATTACAGACTCATAACAATGCTATAGGACAGGGCAGAAGTACCCCTGCGGTTTCCAAGACAGTAACTCTTTGCAGGAGTAGAAAGCCTCGTCTTTCTCCCACAGAGTGGTTGGTGGTTTCAAACAGCTGACTTTGAGGTTAGTTATCCAAAGTGTGACTCGCCACGCCACCAGGGTTTTGGGTTTCACTTGGTGACACTGTGTTTGCTTCTTTGGAAGATTAGGTAGATCACCAACCATATCTTGCTTTCATGGCTTTTCCAGATAGACGGAACTTGCAACTGTGCAGTTAACAGCAGTATGAGTGAATCATCTGTACCACAGAAGGACAACCTACTACTATGTGCTGATAATTTTATCTGTCAAAACTGAAAGCTAAATCTTCTGAAATATTATGTCTCTTAATTAGAGCTAGAAGAAGGGTTCATTCTGTTTTTTAGGTATTTTATTTTGTAATGCACATATAGTTGCAACACATGCATTTATTTATTTTTTGTGAATAGATATGCTATAAATATATATTTTTTTAAATGAGTAGCAAAGGTGTCTAAGATCAGTTTAATTTCATAGCTAGAGATTTGAATTGATAGCCTCCCAACACTGCCCCACCCAAAGGGCTGGCTTTCTGCAACTTTATTGGAAACTTGATTATTTGTTGTGCTTTAATTTTCTTATCTAAAAGAGGCGGTAGGATAAACATACCTCTCTTGGGAGGCAAAGAACCAGGAGTTGTAGTATTCCTGTGTCAGGTGATATGTCTTAACTTACCAATAAACGCCAAAATGTCAAACCATTGCCATTGAGCTAATTCCAAATCTCAGGATCATTGTAAAAGACATTGAACTGTCCCATAGGGGTCCTGAGGCTGCAAACCTTTACAGAAGTTGACTGATTCATCTTTCTTCTGTGGGGAGGCTGGTGGGGTTGAACCGCCAACCTTTCAGTTAGCAGGATCTGCTTCTAAAAAGAATAGCCCCTAGAAACGGTATGGAGCACACCTTTGCTGGGATGCACAGTGGGTCACATTGAGTCAGGACAGACTCTACGGCCATTGTTTAGCTTTTGTTTGGGCTTTTATTTTTGGCACGGTGGGCTAGGCACTGGGCTGCTGTTCTCAAGGTTAAGGTTTCAAAGCCATCAGCTGCTCCTCTGGAGCAAAATGAACCTTTCTACTCCTGTAAGGGTTTACCATCTCGGCAATCTTATATAGGATCACGGGGAGTCAGAATTGACTTGATGGCTAAGGGGGATGAGGTATCCTTTGTAGGGGGTCTGTATTCAATAACAAAAACAAGAAGAGATTTGCTTTGATCCTTGCAAAACTCTTAAGATCCAGGGCCTTATCTACCCTCCATGAAAACATTCACCTCTACAACTATTGTGTCAATCAGCTCAAATGCAAACCACAAGAATGTGTTTGAAAAATTTTTGAACAGTCAAATCACAAGGGCTTGCAATCATGCTTGAGAAAGAATGAGGTAAATAATATCTTTCTGTCTGGATCTCATAAGCAGTTGCTAATCCTCATATGATGAGCCAACTTTGCTGTGGGTGGGGCACCAGGGGATCAAAGCCTCAGACTGATACAGAACAAGGCCTGCTTGTTGATCCCAGAGACATCTTAAATTCTAAATCTTTTAAAACTGATTCCTTTGTTTTTATGTTTCCTAGATTACTGTAAACAGAGTCCACCCAAAATGATATGTGTATCTCTTCATGGCACGCATCACCCTAGTCTGTCTGGCATTGAATGCAAGCCTTCATCTTCGATCTCTCACTAGATCTGGGAGAGAAACGTGGATGTCATGCTCCATTCTACGCCAGCCCTTCACTCCCCCACTTCCCCTCAAACACTCGATTCCATTTCTTGCCTGAGACAAGTACTTTTTTTTAATGGTTGAACTGAATTGAGCGGACTCGGATTTTAGCTGAGTGTTTTTTAGATCTCGTTAACTATGTCGGAGTTGAAGCATCGAGAAGATTTTACTGCTTACTAAAAAGAGTGCTATGAAAGGCTACAAGTCCTGGCCCGAACGTATTCCATCTATCCGGAATTAAGGACAGATTAGTACTAGTAAAATGCCCCCAGCAGTCCCCTTTCTTTATCTGCTATGCCAACTGGGAGATCCATTTGGAATTCACCCACTGCTTCACATTTGCGTGAGAAAGGCTTTTGTGGCCACGTGTCAGCTTTATTTTACAAATTCAAAATATCCGGGTCAGTATTCCTAAACACTGTCTCCAAACTTGCTTTTAATAGCATAGCATCTTTCTTAATACGATTTTGACTCGGAAATGTTTGATTCCATTCAGAAGCAGACGGTGTGGGGAAAGAGAAAAAGATGGAATTACTAAAAAATAAGAGAGGTGCTGCGGGTGGAAGAGACGGCAGCCGGTTCAACTGGGAACCCAGATCCCTTTAACCTTGACTTCAAGGGTCCACCAGCTGGTTTGGCTTCTGTCTTGTGCGGTTTAAATAAAGGGACGCCACACAGTTGCCACCACATGTCGCGCCCACGTGACAGGGTCAACCGGACCAGGCTGCCAGCTCGTAAGCGAGCGGTCTGACTTGGTGCCCGTGCCCCCTCCGCGAAAGGTGGGGAGAAGGCCGCCCGCCCCGCGCAGCAAGCCCTAGAGAGCGCCCTCTACAGCGGGGACCCGCAGGGTGCCCTCCAGCCGCTGCCCACGGCGGGGGCTCGGACTGAAGCCCCCCAACACACACACAAACCAGAGGAAGCCCTCGGGCTGCTTGCAGGGAGCACACAGTGGGGAAGGTGCCAAACCGAGCCGAAGCCTGATGGGGTATTGGGTCACGGAGTGTTGGCGTGTACCAGGGAACGGATGCTGGCATTCCAGAGCATTCTCCCAGGATAACGGGGGCAAGTGCGTTTGTGCCTTTCAACCTGATCTTGTCGTTCAAAGGCGGGGGGGCAACCAGGGAAGAGGGAAACAAGGACACGCCCCGCAGCGTCCCGCCCCCCCCCCCCCCCCCCCCCTCCGCATTCCTCCCGTGGCCGGGGCGTGGGGTCCAGCAAGCCCCCCTGGAGAAAGGAAGGGGGTGCCTGGACACGTGTTGATGGGTGCGCCTTACCGAGCAAGGATGAGGCATCAAACTCAAAGGGAAAGAGCAGCGCCCCGCGGGGAATTGGACGCACGCGCTGCCTGCGAGCTGTGCAATGTCATTGGCAGGTAGCCCTGTAGCCTTGAAGAAAATGTGAAGTATGCGCACTGCAGACAAAGGGGACCCACTGCAAACACCGCTCAACAACCCTTTCAAAAGAGAGCGGGGGCGGGGCTGTATTTACCTTTTAGAGACGCGGGGTCACCCTGCCTTACACTGAAGAAGGAAAGAAATGGCTCTAACACCTTAACATCTTGAGCGCATACCACATAGGACAAAACTGGAAGGTGGGCAAGAAGGAGCAAGCGGTCACGGAAAGGTGACCTGGCCCACTCAGCAGAGGCATCGGTGTGCAATACGTTGTGGTGACTTTCCCAGATGAATTTGTCTTTTCCCAGAAATCCACGGCATTCTCCATTGAAGGGCAGCTATATGAGTAGACTCAGACTCTTTCCATAACCTCCGAATCAAATATGCAAGGTGAGCAAGAACTCTCTACCCTCTCCTCACCTTCCCCGCCTCCCACCCCACCCCACCTGCTCCCCAACTACACAGAAGCAGCCTTAAGGGCTAACAGCGTTTAAAGAACGTTGCTCAGATTCTCCTAGAAACGTACAGTTGGGCATGGGTTGTTAAGCAGGATTTGGGAACATGTGTGAGAGTGTGTAAGCTTCCAGAGCTTTGTTGAGGGGGAGAGAGAAATTACTGCCAATTAGAATAAAGGAATGAAGGATCTGGTAGTCACCAATTGACCTTAGATTTAAAGGAAAGAATAAACCCTTTTAAAAATGAAAATATGTGACTATCTCCTTAAACTCTCATAGCATTTTTGAAAAACTAAAGCACTTGACACGGCCACCCCATATTGGAGTTATTTATATGGCTGTCTGTCTTTCCCACTAGACTGTGAGATCCTAGAACAGAGCATTATTTATTTTTCTGCTTTTCATAGTATTTCCCATTTGTATTTATTTTCTACTTTCCATCATACCAAGCATAGTGCCTCTTATAGAACAGACAACTAATATCTCCTGATTTGAAAATATGATCTTTAGCAAAAGCAAAAAAAAATAAAGGGGTGGGGGAGTGGGTTGGAAGGGAATGAGATAAATGGATCGAAAAGAGTTCGATATTATGCAAGTTAGACTTGTTGTCTCTGGCAAAACAAGTTCCAAATAAAGGCCTATTAGAGAGACAGCATTATAAAGAAAACCCAAATCCTTGAGGGAAGGAAGCGAAGACATCTAGGTGAAAACAAAATACGAGGCGCAAAAATTTATATGTTTATATATCATAATGTTAATCATCCCTTTATACAAATATTTCTACCACCACCACTCTCAACACACACACACACACACACACACACACACACACACGCAAGTTCTTATGTGGGGTGACTTAGAAACCAGCCTGTTAGTGGAAGGCAATGGGTAAACACTGAGAAGCACTCTACGCCCAGAGATCTGACAAGGGAGGCAGCTAACTGTGAGGTGTGAGGGGGGTTGGGCTGGTTGATGATCTAAGAATAGAATGGTGGTGGAAGCCACTAGAACAGAATAATTTTAAGAGATGCCGGAGTGGAAGGACACAATTCCAACTCATGAATATTTATCAGCAAATATATTTTTCTCTAAAGACAACTACTGTGAGACACAACCCTTTAGTGTCATAAAAGAACCATTGGGTCCGGTTAGAAAAATGATCCAACAAGAGCTTTTACCAGGACACTAGATTTGGGGGTTATCCCAGGGGGCAGAACCACAGTGAGCTCACTTCTGGGCCTAGCACCAATTTCCACATATATAGCCAAGCAAACATCACATTTAAATTTGGAAGGAAAAAAAGGCAGGAAGGAAGGGGTGGAAAGTGGAAGCAAAAGGAAGGTATGGATGGAGGGAGGCAGAAAAGAAACAAAAAACATGGACCCCCTTCGAAGGGGTCCAAAGAGAACCAGGAAAATAATGATTAAAGGTGAACCAATCACATCAATTCAAGGAGTTACTCTTAGTCAACTAGGGTGGGAGGAATGGAAAAGCTAAGCGATGATAACTATTTTTACATTTTTAAATAATTCTTTTTGAGAAAACCATTGAATAGTGACTCTAATTCGCCTGAAAGCAGAGTGACAAAGACGAATACAGTTAAGTTACAAAAAGGGGAACTTGGACATAAAGACAGTTTGTCATTAAAGGGTAATTGAACAGGTTCCTATAGGAGTTTATATGCCTTTCATCCCTGCTGATGTCTGAGAAGCCAATTAGTAATTTTCTTAGTTGGGCTAGTTATAGACCTATCCGAGGCAAAAGGTTGCTGCCAGAACCTCCTCTCCCTGCCTGATCTCTGATTTTATTCCATGTCCTATTGCTTATCTTCTAAATGTGCTTGTAATAACCTGCCCTCCTGCTAGCACCTTCTTGTAAATGAGATGCCTATCTGCATTTATCCCAGCTAAATAAACTGAATTCCATAAAACCCATCCTGGGTTATCCTCCACGAGAGTTATTACTCCACTAACATGCTACTGTTGCTACTGTTACCTCATGTTTTAACGTCTCCTTTGGGCTTGAGTTATGCTACGTTATTGTATACCTAAGATAAGAGGCTGTCTGGAGTCTGTTCAGTGTTATCGCATAACACACAGTGACTTTTTTATGGAAGGCACTCCATGCGTACCTCTGCACTGATGCAAGTTTTATTGAAACTCATGCAGAGGCAGTGTGTCTGTGCATGCACACACACACACATACATATCAAAGAATACCCATCTACCTTTAATATGTCTATGTGCTACAGGCGTCCTGGGGGTGTGTGGTTAAAACATTTGACTATTTGAACCCACCAGCTGCTCTGTGGGAGGAAGAGGTGACAATCTGTTCTGTAAAGATGTATAGTCTGAGAGCCCCGAGGAGGCCGTTCTCCTCTGTCCCAGCAGGTTGCTATGAGTTGGAATCAACTTGATAGCTGTAGTTTGGTAGTTTGGGATGTATGTTGTTGTTGTTGTTGTTGTTTCACATAAGTGCTTAATTGAAAATAAAGTCATGAAGTCACTCTCCCATACTTGGCTGATAATCTGTCATACTGCTATGTCCAGCATTGTATCCATTTATCTTAGCGAGGCCACTGTTTTCTGAAATAATGCCAGCTCAGTGGCATCCATGTCTGTCATACTGACAAACCCAGACTCAGCTCATCTCTGCCGCTCCAGACCCCGAAGATGCAGCTAGACTCAACCCTGAGATCCCCAGACTCATAGGCCTTCACAGATTTTTAAATGGGGTGCTCTAAATGTTTGAAAAGGCTTAATGAAATGAACACAGATACTCTGTTTTGTTTTCAGTGAAAGCTTTAAGGCAAATTAGATTCCCACTTACTTTCCACACAAGTTGTTGGGTGATAATCCTGACATGTATCACAATGGGTTGGCATTCTCAGCGATGGCATGCTCCTGGCTACATTTCTCATACTCGACTTTCTCTGCCCCTCCTACTTTCCCATCTTCACTGTAGAGCAATTGTTGACCTTTTGGTCTCATGTAGATTTTTAAAAATGGAGCCTTGTACTCATGAGTAATACCCTTTATATTGTATACCAATGTGCATTCCACCAATAGGTGACTTCAGGTGACAGTTTTGATTCAAGGTTTGTAGAGAGTCTCAGGGTGGTTCTCTTGGAGAGACCCTAGTCTCAACTTGTCCAGGACTCCTGGATTTTCAAGAATTTGTGTTCTGATCCTTTTTCTCTTTCTCTCATTGTATCCGGGTCCATATTGTAGCTCTGATCAGAACACTCAGTAGTTGTGGCTGGGCACCCTCTAATTCTTCCCGTCTCAGGGGAGCTGAAACTAGGACTTGTGTCGGCTGTGTAGCTTTATAGACTAGTTTCTTCTCTTGGTCCTAACAAATAGAGAACAATAGTTGTATTTTACATAGCTGCTTGCAAGCCTTTAAGACCCCAGGTGCTACTCACGTCACTAGGCTACAAAACATGGTCATGTGACTTGACTGCGTTGTCCCATGAGCTTAAGAACCTAGGCCTTCAAACCGCAAAAATCATTCTCTCAAGGTAGTTACATAATCTGATGTCAATTTGGGACTTCAGAGGATTAAGCGTGAAGGGGTGGAGTCAAGTCTGTCAGTTGGGTCATAGTCAGTGAGGCTTCTGTGTGGACATGGCCTTCTCCTGAGATTTCTAGGAACTCCAGTATTTCCTCCTTGGAGGAGGGAGACTCACTCTCTTAGCTCACTCCCTTGGAGACGCTCTACTGACAAGACACATGGCACTAGGCTGATCGACCCTGTGCTCTGGGAGCTGGAGAAGCCACGTGGAGACCCCTGCCAGTGGTGAGATGCTTACAACGCCACTGGACCCACAGACTTTGCATCCACAGGCCCGTGATCGTCCTGCCTTCGGTTTCATTGCACGTGTTTCGTGAGTCTGAAGAGGGCTTTAGAGATTGGTATTGCACATATGGGCTAATCTCAGACTTATGGCTTGGACTGGACTGGGTTGGGATGCTTTCTTAATGTACAATTACCCTTTATATAAAACTGTCTCTTATACACATCTGCATGTTCATGAATTTGTTTCTCTAGTCTACCCGCACTAACACAAGGTGTTTGATTAAGTCTAAGATCTATCTGTAATTGTGCTCTCTATGAATACATATGCATGTGCACATATCAGTACAGATATGTACATAGATATTGCTAGCTGTAAATACATATACTCACCTCCACCTAACACACACATATATGCTTATATACCTACATGCGTGACTATGCACTCATTTTTTGGTGACTGCTGTATTGTTGACAAATTACAGATGTCATCTTCTCAGCACAGACCCTTTCTCTTGAGTTCTTCTTAGCATGATTAGTTATTGTGATCCAGCTGTGCTCCTTGCATCCAGATTGTGTACAACTTTTTCTACACCCCCCCAATGACAAGCATCTACATTCATGAGCACGAGCCCCCTCCCTTTATCATCCT